AATTTTGAAAACTTCAAGAATTTGTGTTAAATAGGAAAATAATAAAAATGTAACTCAGTAATGATGAGTAGGTGGGTAATTTAGCTAGGAATCTTTAATATTAGTAAGATAGATTTGATATCACACCCAAGCGGTATAACCACTTGAATCAATAAAAACGTAGGCTTGAACAGTCCAAATATTTCTATTTTTTAACTTTTCTCCTAAACTATGATAGCTAGAAAGTTGGTTGATAACACATTAAAAATTATACCAGCTTAATATGTAGAAAGACAGCGGCACACGATAGTTCCATATGTGGTACCTAGGTGCATACTTGTGGTATCTATAGGTAGATTGGATGAAACTACGCAAATATCAAAATAACAATGTCTTCGGATCGTCAAATATTTATAAAACAAATCATAGTTATTTATTTATGGATGTGTTACATATTTTCAACAAAATCGTCAAATAGGTGTAAACAAAATATGATTGAGAGGAAGCTTCCTATGCCACATTTTTATTATTGTTCACAGCTTGATACTTTAACGAAACGGATATAAATAAGAAAAATAATTAACTTAACAATAATATATTATGATTGACTTAATAAGTACATTTATACTACTTTCGTACTATACCTACTAATTATTAGTAATTATTATCGAAATATCACAAATGTGAGGAATTCTAAAGGTAGGTTCATAATTATTATTGTTGTTAGAACTGACAGATTTATTGGAGGACAAAAAATATGGGCGCTTGTAAATTGCGCTCGCATTAAGCAGGTAGTGAAAATACCATAGTAAATTTCGCTTGTAGTATCTTCAGGTGACCTTGAATTCTTCGTTACCTATAATGTGTGTTTTAAAAATACTGTTCATATATTTGTGGATAATCCGAACGTTTATCTCTATAATCGTTATGATATTAGCTATATCAATGACTTTACGTATAGGTAATATTTTAGTAAGCCGTATGCGTGCAACAGTGAAACATGGATATTTTACATACTGGATTTAGCCAAAAATAAAATTATGTTATAATATCTACCAAACTTTTAAATGTTCAAAATTAAACGTGAGTTGTCTTCGGGTAAAACAAAGTGGCGATGTAGTGTAAAAACGCGTATTGAGTCCCTAAATGACTATCATAAAAATAACAAGGCGCAATTTACTACACAGAAATTTGTACCTGAAAAATACCGGGCGCAATTCAAAAAAAATATAATATGACAAATAAATAAAATATGCCTATACCTAACCTAACCATCGATTTTACTCCGTAGCATTCCGATTATACAAAAACGATATTACTATCATCATTTGACGGCCCTTAAATACATCAATAAGATTCATATAGGGAGGGGGTACTGAGGGATGGCATTTACTCTACGTTTTTGTTAGATGAAGAATAGAATAATCTTACGATGATATCAGAAAATCTGAATTGTAAGGCATCCCTTCACTTATCTTAAGCCATTTAGACAACTGAATAAGAATATGTAACAAAAACAAAAGCTTATAGTGACGGTAACGATAACGCTAAAACGTCGTACAGACACCACTCGCCACCACAGTATAAATACAAAATGTTGTACAATACTACAATATGTCAATATCTCATTATTAATAGTTTTAATTTGATATTGTGATCAATAGTAAAATATAGTGAATAAAGAAGTAAAAATACTTTGTCTTATCCCGGCCTTTTGTGTTTTTGCATAATTGTTATCATTTTGTTTACGCGTCTTGTGAGATTTCAAGACATCGTCGACGATTATTTTAGGGTTGCCATACGTCCCGGAAAAAACGGACTGTCACCGGTTTTCGACTTTGTGTCCCGGTATCCCGAAAAATGCTTTCGGGACGCCTAATATGTCCCGGTTTTAGGAAAAAATTTAAAGTGTTTAATTATGACAATTTTTTCTATTTAATAATAATTGAAATCGAGAGTCTAAACGTTACTGTTAGAGATTAATCGATACGACCATAAGGATGATACAGACTTTTATATCCAGTATCCTTTATGGTAGAACCACTACGATGTATGCTCTCTACATGGTGGGTATAACTTAGGTTGTAGCCTAGATTGTTCGTTTTTATTATTTTATTCGCTATTATGGCACCAAAAAGAAAATATCATTTTCGTGACGAGTTTTCTGTTGCTGGAGTTTTATAAAAAGAGGTAGAAATGAATTTGAAGCATAATATTTTTGATAATTAAAGGTATACATTTTAAAATTTAAAATTTATTAAACATATTAAATACAATTTCCGAACGATATTTTTATTATTTTTTCATGGTAAAATGGGTGAATAATAATATGTTGTTACTCGTTTTTTTTTTGCTATGTCCCGGATTTGCTTCACGAAATGATGGCAACCCTAAATTATGGGAACGCGAAAACCTGAACTACTATTAATTAATTGATACGTGTGAGCAATGGACATTGTAAAAATATGTAAGTACCAATGACCTATCTAATATTTATTAAAAATGGTCTACCCATGCGGTGGTCTGATCGCACAGCTAATATGGTAATGTTTAGTGTAGGTACCTATTGTCGATGGTTTTTTCAAATCGGTGTTGCGCCTACAACGGAAAAACGAACTACAACCAGGAAAAACAATTTTCGAACCAACCATGGAATGGAAAATACATTTATTGGTAAATTAAATTTCGGAACAAATATCTAATGTACCTACTATACATTTTTTAAACATTCTTATTTTGGAACAAATATGTAATAAAACATTTATTTATTAGAAATATAATTTTTATGAAAAATAAGCATTGGAACATACATTAAATGGAAAACTAATTTTTGGAACAGATATTAAGTGGAACATACACATCAATATAACGAAATCCAGTTTAATAGACATTTCATTACATTACATTTTATTTTATAGGTATTATCTCTAAATATATTATATAAAAATGAAAAGCCGTACCCACTTTATTCTGGCTAAAACTCAAAACCGTCTCGACCGATTTGGCTGATTTTTTTTTTTACTGTGCTCGTAATTGTCTAGACAAGGTTTGTATAATAGATAATTCTCAGGGAAATCCAGTAGAAAACCTGGATTTAATTAACATAATTTAATAACTGCGATTGATACGCATGAGCACTGGGCATTCTAAAAAGATGTAGGTACCTATCTAATATTTACTAAAAATGGTCTACCTATGCGGTGGTCAAGCGTGTTAGTAAGACATTCGTAATTACGTACGCACCTCGCGAAGTCTGTAATCCACCGGGGATGGATACTGGATTGCCTACCTGAAAATATACTGCTCGCATAAATTCAGTGGCGTATACATAACTTTTGTATGTGGGGGGGGGGGGGGTCAGTTGCAAACAAATTATTATGGAACGAAAATACCTAAACCTAGGTATGTGCTCATTTAAATACCTAATAAATGATAAAACATATAGGTATATATTCAATACATTTTATTTTAAATTCTACAAGTAATTATAGAACAAAATTTAATTTTCTTTTTTTTTTTAGTCAATAATATTTATTATTTAAGCTATTTTTAGCTTTCAATGAACAAATTACTGATAGCTATTAGCTAGTATGTTGTAGGTATATCCATGTTAGTTGATAATATACAAAATTGATAATGTTTTGGTATAAATGCGTAAAAACCATCGTGCAATAACCTTATATTATACCATAATAATATTTCTTTTTCTAATGTATAGGAAAATGTATTATTATACGCACGGACATGCGGGCGTCGTCTCCGCCGCGTTGATATCGGTGACGGTGGCGACGGCCCGTGGCTGGTCTGCCACATATTATTATTCTTATAATAATTTATTATACGTCTTGTATATATAATATACATATTATCAAATATCACATAATACGATTATATGAATATGAAATAAATATATGATTACTGATTAATATTAAGTAAATTATTTTTAATTAATTGTTGAATATTGTGTTAAAATAAAAATTTACAAAAAATCCTTGCCATTTTTTTTCCTTGTAATTTCCTTACATTAAGTCATTAAGAACACTATTTTATAAAATTTTAAAAAAGTCCTTTGGGGGGGAGGGTCTGACCCCCACATCACCCCCTTGTATACGCCCCTGCGCATAATCACAGGCGTGTTTCACGAGCACGAGATGGCTATAATATAATCGAACGTGACTGATCAACGCAGAACACTATAGAACCTAAACAATGATGGCTTGTTAGAATGATACCTCTCAATAAAATTACCACGGTACCTGTTAGTACCACCATGTAAGAAAGCATAGTATTTCATAGGTATGTATATGAAATTAAATTAAATAAAAATAAAAAATAAATATTCGTATTTTAAATTTGTGATTGCACAAGAGTTTTGAGATTCAAGACGATCGATAAAAATTTTTGAGTTTTGACCTCCATTACACCGAATATAAATAACGAATTGAACAAAGTTTGAATCATATTACAGAGTTGGCATTTTTAACCGGCAATGAAGTGCACGGGATCAGCTAGTTTACACTAAATAAATAAAAGGTTAGGTAATATCTACAAATTGTTGGTTGTAATAGTCAAAATTAAATCACTTGAATAACTACTAAATTAAAATGTGAAACATTCACATAATAATGATGTGTTTGCACTCTAAAATTAAAGTTATAGTACGTACTTACAACTTTTCTTTTGTATTTTTACATACTAAAAACAAGTTTCTACAACCAAATTAACCAAAGAAGGATGCATATTTTTTCAGAAAGCTTTACATGTTTTTTGGGGGGCGGCAAACCTCTCCTTCCCCCCCGACCAACCACACAAATTTTTTTTATATTTATTTTCTAACCGATTTTGCATTGGTAACGCTTCGTTTATCACCATAAAACAAATTATAGTAGAACCTCGATTGTCCTAACTAATTGAGATTGTACCTAGTACGGATACTCGGAAGTTCATATACTGGATATTTTTTTAAAAAACATACAATTTATTATTTACATAATATTATGTATTACATATTGGTTATAATATTAAACATTCTCAAGCGTAATAGTGTAAGTAAGATCATCGGGATAAAGTTGTGCCAAACTATTAATTGGCATAAAAGCGCACAACTCATGACTGTAATGCGTGAAAAACTTGCCAGTGTTCATGAACCTGTAATAGTCTGGTTTGAGTTGCCGCTGCAAGTTTCCTGTAACAAAAGTATTCATTTTCATTAGAAGTGTATAATGGTTTAACTAGGTAAGTTTAAATCAAAGACCTCTTATAATGTTTATGGGTGAAATTTGAAGTCCAACCCATTATTATAAACCAGTTCAAAACAGTATTAATCTCCCTTTTTGTTACTCCCGTAATATATCCTTTTTTTTTATTGTCCTCTTCCTTAGGTTTAAAGTACATTCGTGCACTATTAGTTTTAACAGCCTCTTACACATTCCTTTATGTCCTACCAATTTATTATCTAGCTAATAAACCTCTAAATCACATCATAAAAACTAATGGGAGCACCAATAAAATCTAATATGTGAATATGGCATCAATATCTTTTATGATTAACAAGATTACCAAGTAGGTACCTAATATTATACCCAAAATCATTTATAATATAATATAATATACATAATAATATCATATGTCCCAAAAGTCCGCATCGCACTTGTATCCCTCTGAAAATCAATATATTATTTGAATATGGTTTTTTGTACTACAATAAGTATGGGAATGCTAATTGAATTGCAAAAGATAAAAAATTTTTGGTCCAAAAATTCAAAACGTTATTTTTATTCAACTAACTTTTTTAACATTGATTTATATCTAACAAAATAACTATTTTCTTGATCATATTTATGACTGTTTTTTTTAAAAAAAAATTTTAATTTTGAAAGAAAATTGAATAAGTTCAAGGAAAATGAAGGTGTTGACTTTGTTATATAATGGTTATATTAGCGAAACACGAATGACATGAATTATTCAATATTGTGGATTTTTTTTATAATAACCTACTTTGTAAATATTTAGTATTTTGTGTTACATTAGAAAAATAATTTATGCATTCTCAGTACATGATAAAATTGACATGGTTAAATGTTACCTACGAAAAGAGTATCCAGAAACCATCTTACATGTTATATCAACAGATAAATGTTTCAATTTTTGAAAAATAGGTAAAATTGCATTATCTTCTAGTTATAATGTTGCAATTAATACACTTTACGAAGTTCCACTGATTATTAGATACTCACAGATTCTCTTAAAATAATATACGTTCCAATCGATCATGAGATTCGTATTTGCCAACATAACTAGGTATTATTCTAACGAAGACAACAACTTAATTTGCTTTAACTTGGTCTATTTTCACTCAATTTTTATTATTTCTATTTTAAAAATATGATCAAGAAAATGGATTGAAAACTTAAAAAACCTATTTTGAAATTACTTAAAAATGTAATGTGATACACTTTTTTTTAGAAAACTTTACACTTTAATTTTATTATTTGTATGTGTATGTTTATTATTAATATTGACATGAGTGTTTAAGACTTAAAATATAAAAAAACATTGTTTTTGTAAGTCGATCCTCAAAAGAATAATATAATATACTCAGATTTTAATAAAAAAAAGTTTGACTACCACTGATATATATATATATATATATATATTGATAAATGATGGATATAATATATATTTTATATTGTTAGTTATGTGTATTGTGTAATTATACTTAAGTGATATAAATATTATTTTATTTAAAATTTTAAAAATATAAATTTTTTTTACTATCAATATGGATTTACAATTAAATATTGGCCTTTGGGTCCCTTTCTTTTTTTTATGGTCTTTCTATTTCATAATCTGAGTAATCTAACTGATTAAATAAATAAAATCATAATGATTAATGCTTAATTTTGAAATAATGAAATTATTCATTTACATTTGGTTTTTAATTATTTTAATAAAGCCATACATGTATTTTTGGTTGAAGAACACGCTACACACCTTGTCTTATATCATATATTTTTGTTAATTAACCTTTTTGGAAAATATTGTCATGTAAATGTAATCGGTTAAAATAGAATAGTCATAAGAAAAGGCATGGAAATGCAACAATACAATTTCTTTAAAAAAAAAATCAATTCCAACATACCATTTCTTTCGTCAAACATGATGTAGGTACTAGGGTTATCAAATACCTCCAACGACTGAGGTCTGATGAGCACATAGTAATGTTCTGTACGGTTTGTGGGGCATATTCTTTCCCAGCCCACAACAATTCCCTGTAGCAGTACCTCTCTTGAATTTGTGTTAATATATGCAATCATCATCCCAATTGCAAATTTTGGATCATTGAACTCACCACGTCGTTTTGGTGTTAGCGGGAAAGTGTGTCCCCACTGATCATTAAAAGAAGTTTTATGTTAAATATTGCAGTTTTCAAATATAATAAGTTTTATCACTTACATCTATGTGAATATTGTTCTTCTCATCTTCGTGGTTTGGAGCCTGAAAACAGTTAATAAATAATAATAATGATAATGAGAAGTAAAAATTTTATTTAATATATCTGATATTTATGTAAAATGTAAATGTAGGGTATTGCAGAATAGTAAAATACTCACATTGGGATTATCCGGATTTCTAAGTAAGGGGCATCGACAAAAGTCTAAAAGCTGAAGAATATCTGCTTTTCGAATCAGAAGATTAGGATAATCAGGTTTTAAGAATACTTGGAAATCCCACACATATTTACATGGCCTTCTCGATTCCGCACTAAAGACCTGTTCCACGTTTTTACTAAATGTCCAAAACAACTAAAAAAATATACATATATTATCTTACAGTAAATTTGATTTATGCTTTCCTAATAAATTATAAGTTTTTTTAAAAATATTATATTGTTTATCAGTAATTTTTGGTGTTTCAGTTGGTTTAAGGTAAGTGGACAGTCAGAAACAGTTTATTTTATGTAAACTACTAAAAAAATTCGACTCACTCAATTGGATAATTTAATTTTAAACCATGTTTACATTTTGGTTTAAAACAAAATCAAATTCAAGGCTAAGTAAATACATTTTCAAAAATGAAACATATTTTACTATATAAAATAAATTTTGATGGACAATTAGAGATTTTTTGAATAAAAAATATTAAGTATAGATAGTTTTAAAAAAAGTTATTTTCCAATTTGAACACAATACTTGTGGAACTAAAATTTATAAATTTTAAACCTTGTGGTACATCTGAATTCAACATTTTCTTATTTATAATTTCTAAATAGCTAGTTTACTATTTAAACTGCTAATCTAAGTATTGTAAGACCTTTTATGATATACAATACAAACATTTGTGTTACAAATTCTGATATATCCAAAACAATATTAGGTGCACTCAGAACTTAGGCAGATGGCACTGCGTAATTAAGCATCTAACAAATTTCCAACAAAGTATCAAATTAAGATTTAAAAATGTACATATGGATCAAGCACTGGATAATTAAAATACATTTATCAACATTTAAAGGAGAAATGTGACCACCGGTTACCAATATAACTGTATATATATCTATATATCTGTATAGGAATCAATTATGACAGCTAGAATAATCAATAATAGGATACATATAATACAGTACCGCCCTAATTGGGTGAATAAAAATTGGGGATACTAAACTTGTAGATTATTAGTGATATAGTAGAAAAATAATTCATAACTAACTAAATTTGAGTTTGTAAGGGCAAAAAAAATTAAATATTATTTTTAAAACATAATGGGGGAAGAGATTATACCTTTCTATCCTTCATATAGTGTGCTAACAATAAATCTATAAATTTAAATACTATCTAGCAGTTCTTGAAGTGTTGACAATTAAAATATAATGTTTTCATCCACAACTCAAGAGGCTGTTGTCTCTGATATTGTAATATTAGTTAATTTGTGTTTCGCAGTGACTGCTGGAAATAAGCAAGTTGAATGTTTGCAATCCTAATCAGTAATCTTGAATTTTTAAAGGTAAGTCAAGTCAAATTTTATATAATATGTTATAATAGTAAAGTTATAAGTTCTATAAATTATTTTAATCTGTATACAATTATCATTAAAATTGGTTAAGTGGTTTATAATATAATAGAAAAGATTAGTTTAAGAGGTCTATTGCCTATGCCCTATTAGCTATTTATATTCCAATATTGTCTTCACAAATAAATTTTCCTGAATAATGTTTTGAAATCTAATTTTTCTTAATTTCATATAGTCGTGTTTCTGTAAGATCACAAATTATATATTTTTCTACAGTATTTGAATTAAAATCAGTTGTTGAACACCCATATTATGTTGACAATTCATAATATGATGAAAATAAATTGATAACACATAGGGTGGACATCAAAGTAACAACTGTTACATTTGCATATTTTGTTTCTATTCGCCATATTTTATGGTACTTAATTATTAGAAATAACTATATAGAAAACTATTATTGGTGTCTGTTGATCACTTTCCATGGAGTACCACCACTGGTTGACTTCCCCCTCCTGTCAAACAAATATCTTAAAATTTAACTATTATATAACATGTAATTACAGATTGTAAATATATGAATTTTTGTTCTAAAATAAAAAAAAAAAATTTAATTTCACTAAATGAAAAAACAGAATTTTTGTTATTATGACATATGAGTTAGGTACAGTTCCTATGAGTATTCAATTTAAACGAGTTAAAATATATTTTTATAAATTATGAGTACTTACGTCAAGTATAGAAGTTCCAATATATTGTTTTGGCAATTTTCTTGAGACTCGATTAACCTTCATGACACCACGATTAGCGATATCTACCAAGTAGCATGTAGGGTTCTTAATTTTGTTTCCCGGCCATGAAGATGACCATGTTACAAAATTTTTTGCATATTTGAAAACAGATGATGCAGTTATAAAAACTTTTACTCCTAATCGTCTAGCAACCGATTCAAATATTACACACAGTAAAAATACAGAACCTTTTCTCTTTTCAATAACCTAGGTAAATTAATTGTATCATTATTGACTAGGAATAATAAAATCATTGAGATGGAAACATACCTGCTGTAAGAAAAAGCAATTTAAGTTTCCGGTACAATTACAAACCAGTTGATCTTCTGAAAATATGATTTGTCTTATGTTGTCAAGTATAAACATTGTGCTAGTTTCATCAAATAAATCATGATCAAGATTGAATTTTCCTCGTTCAACCACTTTTTTTAAACAGTTTTCATGTTCAAACAGAGGATGGACTGGGTTTGCTGACCAAATGCGATTATACACATTAATAGCTATATTATTTAAACTTTTATCTGTGAAAAACATTTGTAACACAATTATCACCGTTCATTACAAATGTACCAAAATTACATAGCTTTTTCTAGTGTAGACTTACTCATATCCTGATATGGTTTGTCAACTGTAGGACAAAAACAACGTTCAAGTAAGTAAAATCCTCGTTCAACAATTTGTTCTGCCGGTGGTAAACTTAAGAAATTCCGTATCTTGTAACCAAAATACACTTGGCACGAATACATAAGAAATTGATGTGCCATGAACAATAGATCATCACAGCTGAATGATAAAAATAAATATTGATAAGTCAAACATTATTCTACTTTACTCCAAACCACAAAATTACCATTCGTTACTCTGTTGTTGCTTATAATATGCTGCAGTTGCTGATAGAATATAAAATCTATGGCCTTCATTTTTTGAGTGCAAATATTGATTTAAAGGAAATGCATGATAAGGTATATCTCTAATCATCATGTACTTGGACGGCATTTGTTTTATTTCATCAGATACAGCTTTGTCCAAACTTATACGCATTTTTATTTCATCCTTCCAACTGTTTTCCTCGTCGATAACAACTCCATATTCCTCATTGTCCAACAAACCGTATCTAACACAAATAAAATATCCGTTTTAAGCAAGTAAAAAAAAAGTACAACACACAAGTATCGGTACTTTTGTATGAATTTGGATTTCCACAGGCGAGAGTTTGACTCTTGGAACAAGCAATTTTCCAGTTTCGAGTGCGTGACAGCAAGGTTCAACACGTCAACCAATTTCAACGAGTCCCAGCAGCAAATGTGCTCAATCAATTCCGCCGGCAAGTCCAGGATCGTGGTAGCGGCGGTATTCGAGGAGCTGGTGTTCATGGTATCAGCAGAGTTCGGCGGACGAGTAGGCCGGGACGACGACGAAATCGTCGTCGGGGTAACGTTGTCGTTTCAGATCGTTGGTCGTTACCGTACTGGATTTTGATCTTCAAATGCCCAATCGGGCGGGTCACGCAAGTGCGCAACTGCAACAATGATCGTTGTCCAAGACGATCGACGGAATAGCGTGTATAGCCCTATTGTTCGGCGCCTACCGCGTTCGTCCGTGATAAACGTTCCGCAGACCAAAAATCGGAGCACCGGAACTATATCACAGTAAACTTGAACCGATGCTGACCTGCGCCGTTCTGAATGTAGGTACTCAGCGTATTGATCGACCACCGAAGACTGAACGGAGGTCGTCGCAGACCGCGGTGCGATGATAATAATATGTCGGGTTTCTGACAAAAACTGGAGGCACACTTTATCACGACAAGACGGCGTACCGCGTACGCTAATAAAGCGTTCGTTTTGAAGTAGTTTGGTCGTAAGCGCTGTTGATCTCGGCCACCGGTTGTGAGTAGCGAGTGGGGGAATTTACGGCGGCGATCAGATAGTAGAGTGGGGGAAATTTCGGTACGGAACAAGGTGTATTGATCCACCGTGGTACGAAACCGCCGAGCTCCGTCATTTAAATGCGCAAACGAGAAACGTTCTCTAGGTGGCGTTAGTGTAATAGTAGACGTTCGAATGATAGGACGAGAGGGCGCTGCTGGCGGCACTCCGTGTACTGTTGGTCGGTTTCTTCTTTCAATGAACCGATTATTATTATTGTTAGCTTGATTCCTTGTGTCAAACTCTAATTTTTTTTTATAAGTTGCTGAAATATTTATTGATTTCATAAACTCCGATTTCTTTTTTTTTATTTCATCATTGGACCAAAAAATCAGTTATAGGCTGGGCTAAACCATAATTTTCATCTGGCCCATTAGAAGTTGTTTTTGCCTTATATTTTCAGGATGATTTAAAAAGTTCTCGCCGGTGTTTCAAATTTTTTCTTTTGTCTGAAGTGTATTTAAAAATTTTTTTGCGATAATTCGTACTAAAATCCAATGATTAACAAAAAAATATGTACTTGGGTACCTATACCAGGTGATCACTTGAAGTGTCTATAAACATTATTTAGTAAAGTTCTAATTTTTTTGAAAATATCTAATAATTTTATATTGTTACAAAACAACATTTTTATTTAAAAAGATGAAATTTTTTAATATTTTAGATTTTGAGAGGATTGATAAATGTATTGATTTTACAATGCTTTTTAATTTTAATTTTTTTTTTTAAATTTTTATGTCTCATCACCATTTGGGGCAGTAAAACTGCTTCAATTTTCTTCAACAGTATCTTGTTCTGTAGGAAAGTGAATCTAGTTGGTAAATTCAACAGGTAAAAATGAAAAGGCGAAATTCCCAATAGTTTTCAAAAGCACAGGGAAAAAAATTAAAATCAGAGAAAAATGGGAATTTTTACGTAAAATTTATTTTGGTTTTCGATATGATTCTAAAACAAACTGTAAAATGTAGATACCTACATGACATTTTCACTGAATGTTTATATTAGCATTTCCTTTACAGCATACATTATTCAAAATATTTTCACAAGAATTTACGGACAATGTTGGTTTTCAATTGCTTTAGTTTTTTTTTCTATAATTAATATCAATAAAATTGTATTCGTTTGGTAAAAAAGCGTGAAAATTGAATGCAAGGCTCCTGATATATTGTAACAATAGAATTTGAAAAATATTAAAAATACATAATCACAATTTTTTTTCGCTGTGGCTATATCCCCGACAGTCGGGTCTTTATTAAAGACCCGACAACTTTGCGCACAAATGCACACGCGCGAAAAATACACATGATAACAATATAACAATGACAATGCCTGTGATAATCCGATAATTATTATTCATTGATTATAATATTAATTAGTAATTATTACTAATTGCCAATTGGTAGTAATAGCATATATTTTAGAAATAGGTTATTTGTGAATTGTGTGAATATTAATAAATATTAATGTGGATATTATGTACCAAAATTAAACAAAAATAATTAACAAAAACAATCATAATCATTTTATGCTATATTCTAAAATCTAAAAAATAATAATTCAGTTTTACCAGTCATCACAAATTTTACATATTCAATTGAAAATCTAAAAATAAAAATGTTTATATCACAGTCGTTATTGTGTATGTCTTCACTAAAAATCTAAAAAAAAAATGTACAATAATAAATCATCACATTAGGTAGTCACTAAAACACATTTTTACAATTTTGACAAAACCAATATTTGCCTACTCTGTTATTTTTCAAACGGAAGTCTTTCTACATAGACAATTGGGCTACAACTCATTTACACACATTTAGCTTTTTTACAACTCATTTGCGCACAATTTACCAACAATAGAAACTTTTTTTCAATGAAATCCGCGTACCTCCAAATTTTCGAATCGGTCATTTCTGATGGTGGAAAATTATTATACTCAAACAACATTTTAATTCACCTTATAAGGCTATTAGGACTTTCTGTCTCATCGTATTATGATGTTATACAAATTATAACTTATATGTTATATGACTAGCGGGTTTAAAAATATTGTTTGAACTATTTATTTTAGAACAGCTTCCTTAGAAATCCATTATTCACAATTATGTCAAATTACAAATTACACAAATTACAATTAGGTAATTACAATCATTTATACAAAAAATTCATGAAAATTTACTAATTGCACAAATTACAATTACAATAATTTTTCACATCGGAATTTATTTATTTATTTTTTAATACATATTTAATATTCATTGGTAAGCGTTTGCATTGAAAATGCTAAAAGATCAATTTTTTTGGATTTGCAATCAAAATATATTTTTTTTAAATGATTTTGTTTTTTAATATTTCTATTCTACGCGCAGATAATTTCTTTCTTTATTTTAAATTAATTTATTTTTAAATCAGTATTGACTAGAATTTCCATTACCTAGTATTTGAATAATTTGGTGAATATATGAGGGTGAGAGTTATAACATTTACTATTGAAGTGCACGTGAATGTTTTCAGTTCCGTTCGTTGTTCTTGGGCTATTGTCTGGTTCACTAGCTCATAATTTTGGCTTAAAATCAACATCAGAATTCAGAAACAATTTTTTAATATATAGTCTGGAAAATCCATACTTATATTATTAGTGGAACTATTTAAATTATTTTAGCAAATGCGTCCAGAACTTCATTAGAGTTTAAATAAGGCAAACCGAAAAAGTGTTATATTACCCAATATGGGCTCAAACGAGCCGAAAATTGACTATATTAAACAAGAACTGTCGATATTGATTTTATTAGCTTCTGAAGTTAGAATTTTGATAATTTCATAAGAATCGTGAACATTTTCCAATTATTTTTAGTTAGAAATTCTTAAAAAATTTTCTTTTCATAGTTAACATTTTAAAATTGAATACAAGATTCCTCTTACGTTTTTCTATCTTTAATAAAAAAAAAATATAAACAATTTAAAAATATATCTGTTGGTGTACTGATTAGTTGGAATTTGAAGAACTCATTGATATGTTAAAAGGAAATTATTATTTATTTTATTAAAAATTATATACAATCTATATACAGTACAATAAGTATAATGAGTAAATTTTATATCATTTGTATTGAGAGGAGGTTAGCATTAATGGTTAGGAACTCAGCATTGCCACACGACTGTCGACCAGGTACTTTTTAGGTACCTATTATTGTTTTTTTTTTTTTGTTAGTAAGTCTCAGCAGTATTGGTTTCTGGCACACCAAAAGCACATGGATCAGTTTTTTGAGGAGAACCATAGTAATATATGTAACTGTTTGTTTTTACTAACAAATATTGGCAGTTTTATATTATAGTATAGTTATATTTATGACTTATAAGTAGTGTTTGAAATTTAAATTGTGAAATATTTCAGTACCTATTTTAATACATTTTGTTTTTTTTTAATATGTTTTATATTTACAAATCATTGTCATAAATTACCTTCATAATTTAATTTTATATTTAGACCTAACCTAATGTCAACTATTTTTATGAAACTTTATTTAAAGTTTAAACTACAAAAAATCCCTTCATCCGTAGCTTGAATGATAAAAAAACAAGTTCAGTGTGTCACTAAATAGGGTGGGCGTGTATAGTTTAAACTATAATAATCCAAATTAATTTGTATTTGGTATCGCTCAACCGGAATGCTATTATTTTGCATACTCAGCGAGCCGTGTGATTAACATTATTAGGTAGGCACCTACCTATAATACATGTTATATATTATAATATAGCAATTGTTTTGTTTGAATTAGCACACATTTAAATATTGTGGTAAGGCCCATGAGTAATTTTACTGAATTTGAATTAAATATAATTAAAATCAAAACAAATATATATATTAAACTTATTGGATACCTTATTGGTACATTAGCAAAAGAATTTATAATTTACGGGACCTAAAACTTTTAAATATTCAATATATTTTTTAGAAATACCTAGTGACTAAGACCATAGATTGATTAAATATACTAGTAAATATTTTAATCTATGCTATGACATCCCTACCACCAGTGGTCAAAGTGGGGGGGATACGGTTGGATGACATTCCTCCACTTTTTTCCTCAAAAATAATGTATCCCCCTTATTAGTTATATACAAATAGTATCGATTTTAATAGGTGTTTTTCATAAAAATTTTATTTTTTAAAAATGTTTATTCTTACGATGGTTTTTTTTAATTAGTTTTACAATAATACAATGAATAATGATTTTTATTTTTATTATAAATAAGTATAATTACTTTTTATAAGAAAAAGAGTTCAAAGTTATAACTTTTTTGATTAATTTAAAAAAATTAATAAATTTAATAAATAAAATAAAATATGCAATAAATTATGATGTAAATTAACAAATTATCATACGAATAAATATAATTTTCTATAAGTTACATTTAGACAAAATATTGAAAACTTTCAAATTAATTGTGGTTAAAAAAATATAAAATGTTCAATTTTTAAAGCTAAGGATTAATAATTTAAAACAACAAATCTCATATTGTAACCAAATAATCAAAAAAATATATAAACACAGTTATTTTTTACAGACATTTTAATATCAAATTTGGATGAAAATACATAAGTATTAAAACCAAGAATTAAGGTTTTAGTTACCTATTTTGTTGTAATTTACATATATTATATTCGAAAATATATGACATTTTTAGAGTACCTATATTATTATATTTTATCAAAATATTTTCATATCATGAAATTATTTTAATCCGTGTGAACTTACATGATAATTAATGTAGCCACCACTGAGGGGCGAATTCAGCCTATCGTTCATATTTAAGAATAATTCTTATTCATAAAGTATAGTTTTAGTTGTAAATCACTAAGTATTTAGTTGCAAGAAAAAAAATGTTTTTAAATTAAAAATCAAAAATGATATAAGTTGGTCAGTAACTTGTTTGTTATTATATTGGAAATATGGTTTTAAATTTGACTGATTTTAAATAATTTACCAAAGAAAAGATGTACATTAGGTACATATATTCAAGTTTAAGCATACTATTAAATGTTAAACGTAATTATTTTTAATCTATTAAGTTTTAAGTAAACGCCATAAACCTATTATGTACATGCTTCTTATTGTAACTTGTATATGAACATGTTCAGTTGGATCCATTATCTTATGAAGAATAAAAAAAAAATATATTTTTAAGCTCATTGAAGTAAACGAAAAGTGCGTATTTTTTGAAATTTTTACTAATTTAAGGATTATTATGAGAATGTTTGGAGGGTCTTTTAATAGCATATTTTAAACTTTTAATTGTGTTGATTAATTAATAGTTTTTAAGAGCCAATCCGAATGACTCAGTTTATACAAGGTTAGGCCCATTTTAAAATGACCAAATACATTCCGCGGGTTCATGTACTGCTCAACAGAATGAGTTTCTTGATTTTTCATAATCATCTTTCTCTAGATACAAACCCCCGTTAACATGCAAGCATCGGACGCATTTAAATGATCTTTAGATTTCCTGTATGCAGCAAAAAGCTTTGAGTACCGGTAAATTCTATCCGGATTTCACTGGATACATTTTTTAAGATATAATGTAGCTTTATGATAATTTCTAATGTTTTCAAATACACCAAAGCCAGTTAAAAATTCAAATCAAAGTCTGGCTTAAGTTTCAAACACTTTTCGTATGTTTCAGCAGACAATTTAATGTTTTCTTGAAGGCAGTATCATTGATTATAAATACTAATATTTATAATCAATGGCAGTATGTAACTCCTAACTTTCTTATAATAGATACATTTTCCGGTTCTAGTGCTATTGCATTTAGAAATGCATAAGCTGCGTTTTGGTAGGTACTATTTAACTATTATATAGGCCATTCCCAACTGAAAACAACCATCGTCGGATCGGGGTTTATTTCTAAAAGTTGTTTATATTTCAAAATAGATTTTCCAAATTTACCGCTGTTACAATATCATACATATTCTGCTAAATTGTTTAAAGTTTCTAGACATTCTTTTGCACTGTTGTGGGCAATCTTAAACTCCTTTTTAGACTCTTTTATTTTGTTTAGTTTTAATAGTAGTTTTCCGTACTAATACCTACAGTATATAATTTGGGTTTGGCAGTAAAATACGTACATAAGCCAAATAAGCTGTATTTAAGAGGACGTTGTACCTGCATGTGTCTCTCCGTCTTACAAATGTACAACATAAGCAAAAACTGTTTTGCGAGGGATGGAACCGAGAACGCTACAGTCTTAACTAAGAAATGAAATTTTCTCCACATAAAAAGGAGAACTTGGGCTCTGCAATGTCATTTTTATTTTTTTGGTATCGGAACTTCAAAAAAAAGTTATTTAAGTTTAATAACACAAATAATAAAGGATTTTGAAACAATTATAACTTTTTTCGTGTAAGTGATATCAAAAAAATAAATATAATATTGCACAGCCAAAGTTTTCCTTTATATGTTGTGAAAATTTAGTTGCTTAGTTATGACAGTAGCCTTCTCGGTTCTTTCCCGCGCCAAAAAATTTTTTCTATGCCGTACATGTGTAAGACGGAGACAACATATGAGGGTGCGACGTCTTCTTACTTCATTTGTCTCAAATAAAAAATTGGCATAATCTGTCCATGCATCCACACAAAAAGTGTATTGTACATGATTGAAATAAGTGTTCTTTTGCTAAATAATTTTCTAATTTTTTCATATAAACTAATACAAAGTTTTTTTAATTATTTTATTTGAAATAAATAATCTTAGGGGCACAAAAGTCTTATGTGGTAGTATAAAAATACATATAGATTAATATTTATAATCATAAACACAATTGAAATAATTAAATTATAACATTAATTGAATGTTTAACATTTATTTGAATTTAATAATCTTAAGGGCACAAAAGGCTTATGTGGTAGTATAAAAATACATATAAATTAATATTAATAATCATAAACACAATTGAAATAATTAAATTATAACATTAATTATCGTTTAATGAAATAAAATACACTAAAAATGCAAACATATCAAAAAAATCTGTATTATTGGGAAAAAAAGTTTTTGCATTTATTAAACAATTAATGCATTCCTGATATTTTTTGAGGTCGAATAATAACTGGGCATGAAGCAGGATAACTTCAAAATCTCTAGGCCTATGCATAAGTAATTCATTGCACTTTGTTTGTAACTCTTGAAGATTTCCATTTTGATGTACTAAAATGGAAGAAACCAGAAGATCATCTAAAAAATATATATTTATTATATTATATATAATTTATAACGTAGAACAATAATTAATGTTAAGTTATTTCAGTAAATAAATTGGTAGAATAACAACTGATACAATTCAAACAATTCGATAAGCTGTAATTAATTAGTACATTTATAATGTAAAATATATTTTTAAGTAAAATTTAAGTTCTTAAACGAATAATAATATGCTAAGCTTCAACAATATTTCAGTTATTAAGATATATATTTCATTTATGTTGACTCTTTAATGGATATACCTTTGGCTAATATTAGTTTTTCAGTTTTAAAAATTAATATAAGTAGTATTAAGGAACATTTCAATGATATCGTACCATTATTATTCTCAGTAAATAATTATTTTTGGGTTATTGTATTTTGTGAAACCTGGCTTCTGAATGATTAGGCTTCTAAAATTTTAGGGTAATAAATTATAATTTATTTTGGAACATATTGGAATAACTGAACCTATTTACAATAGACAGTTGATTATAAACAAATCATGTTTTTCTTCTACAAATTACAAAAATAAATCTCGTATTAACTGTCTAATGTTTATATAGTTGATACTTGATACTAGTACAATACCCATTTTGTGTTTACATTTCTTCTCGGCCAATACTTGATACCAGGTTAGTGTTAAAATTTTTACTCGGCCAATACTTGATACCCAGTTAGTACTATAAATTTTACTCGGCCAATACTCGATACCTGGCTTAATACCAGATTTTTTACCCAGAACATCTCTATTAAAAACCATTTATAATATTGTTCAATGTCTATTTATATTTGACTTATTTTCAAAATTTCACATTTGTGTCTTTTCATTTTAGGACAATATAGAGAATATACAGCTATTATCATGTTAATGATATTTATTCATAATTTATATTATAATAGCATAGAAGCATACATTAATACATCATATATAAGAGGTATAATGGGTATGCGAACAGTGAGTGAATGTATAATTTCATAATTTTCCTATTAATTAAGATATTTTAAATTTGAGTTTTTTAGTTTGTTTAATATATCAACACAACAACACATATGAAATAAATAGATAAGTGTTATGTTGAGCAAATTTTGATGGCCTCCTGAGACTTAGATCCGGCACTGCCCATTATTTAAATCAGGTATTAAATTATCACGTGGCAATTTTAGACATATCTCAATATCATTAACTTCATCAACCATTTTCAAAAAGTAAATATATCAAAAATTGTTTAGTAAATTATTTTTAAAAAACGCAATTTTTTTCAAATTCAGTTTGGTTTTTTAGCAAGGTTGGTCAAGACCTGATGCCCTTTTCAAACTAGATAACTCTGATAACTTTGTTTGTAGTTATATTGATGTTAATTATAAAGTAATGGGTATTTTTCTAGCTGTGAAAAAAGCCTTTGATTGTGTAAATCATGAGTTAAATATTGCTAAAAAAAATAGACTTTTCAGTTATTTGTTGAGTTGCTAATTACATATTAAAATATTTCTTAAGTGAAAGATTCAAATAGTTAAAGTAAATCATTATTATAGTATGGCTAAAAGCGATATTGAATATAAATATAGATAGTAATATGGAATTATTGATGATACTACTATATTAATACCTGAACCAACAGTTCATAGATTGTACATGAAGCAAAATATACAATTTTAAATAATGTGTATGCTTGGTTCTGTAAAAATAAATTAAACTTAAATTTACTGAAATCTAAATTATTTGTTTTAATTCACCTGTTAATACAATTTTACATGGACATGATTTGATTGTAAAATGTAATCTAAAATCTAAAATGTAATCCTAGTTTAAATACCAAATTTGACTCGAAATGTGTAAAATTTGAAAAAGTTAATGAGTTAGATGCGATAGTCATGTAAATTATATTAATGATATTTTACAAACATTTTTCTATGTATTTAATGAAGCCAGGTATATATTAGATGTAATTTATAAAGGAATTATTTATTAAGCTTTAGTGCAATCTATTTTCTCATATGGTATATCTATTTGGGAGGAATTTTTAATAACATGAACTTTAAGCTCAATGTTACAATAATTGGGGTTCTTAAATTTTTACTAAATCTTCCTATAAAAACTCATACTATTCTAATTTATGAAAAACTCAATGAAAATAATTTTAAGATTATTTATAATCAAGCTGTATTAGTAGACCTGCATAAACATAAACATTTAATATCTGTATCACATCATAAACATAATACTAGATAGGTATAAGAAAAATTTTAATATAAGTTTACTGAAATGTCAAAAAGTTTTTATATAAAAAAGTGTACAGCATAGTGGTCATTAGTTATGTCCGGAGAAATGTCCGTAACAATCACAGTATTTTGATAATACAAAAATTCTAAGATTGTTTATGCAAGTTATACTTAGTATTTATTTATTTAATTAAGAAGATATCTCATCTTGAAATCTAGTGCTTCAATAGTATATCATTAGTACTGATATTTATCAAACTTATAGATGAGAACATGATCTATGCTAAATTATCGGCATAAGGCTTTTATTTGATATTTTAATTTTCAAATGAGATATTATAAGCATTTTTCATTTGTGATATATCTTACCCATTTTTTGCTTGAAAATTTAATTATCAAAAAAATAGTCAACGCTTAAGCACGGATGAAGTTCTTACCTTAAGGTTTGATAACGAGTCTATTTAGTCTAATATCAAAACTAACAGTACACTGTTGAAACTAGTAAAGAAAATATTGCCATTTCTTATGTGTGTAAGACGGGGAAATAAATGTATGGGTAGGTAGAGTTTTATTAAGAATATTTATAAAAAGAAAAAAGGTTAGACTAATATGAGTGAAACAATATATATTAGAATAACAGGAAGCTCTTGAGTTTGTTTGAAACATATTGTTATATAAAGCAAAGCAATAGATAGTACTGATAATAATTATAACTTACTTAGGTGTTCACAATATTTCTAAAAAAAAACAAATATATAATTAAATAAATATATTCCAAAAACTTTGAATTTTATTTGTTTATACCTCCATAGCTCCATAAAGCAGGGTTAAGGTATCTCCTGACAATTTGACCGAGCTGATTTTTGCAATGGTTGCTCCAGCTAAATCCTTCACTTTGGTAAATCTTAATTTGCGAAATTGATATGAGATATCTAGAAATCTTTAAAAAAAAAAAAAACAATTAATTTTAAAATAAATTAGTAAAAAGCTTACAGACCTATACATTTTAGATCTATAATATTTATAATAATTGTAAAATATTTACTTTGAAGTGTCATCTCCAGATAAGATATTTGTTATTACTGATATCGGTGCTTCGGAGTATTGGCATCTGGGGAAAAATACATCCTGTAAATGTTATAATTATCATTTGATTAATAAATTTAATGTTTATATATATTTTATAGTTAATCAAATGTGTTTAATACACATTTTTTGTCTTAAAAGTAAAGTACATTGCAAAATAATGTTCATTGGCTCATATTTAGCTTTATTAATCTGCTGTTATGCGAATAAAATATATATATAAGGTGAATCTATTTGTCATTAAAGTACTTATCAATTCAGTAACTAGAGCACTTTGAAATATCAAATTGCATTATACGATTTTCCTGATTAAAATGAAATCATAGTTTGTACAAATGTCCCATAAACATCCCATATACATTATACATGGTTAAATGATTAATAAATAACTTACCAGAAATACGGAATCCATAGTTTAAATTAAGATTAATAATTGATTTTTCAAATAAAGACAGAATATAATGATTCACATAAATTTTCCATCACTTAAGCAACCCAGTCGGTTGTCAATTAACTGCAAGATAAAATAAATTTGGAATAAGTAGGTACATAAGAATAAATATCATATAAATACATTTACATCTAATTAGTAACAACATAATTTGTGTGTTGTATTATTGTTTTTTTAATAATTCAGTTTTCTATCTAGGGGGAGTGTTTAGAAAAAACTACTGAATATAATATAATATGATGATGATTACTAGTAAAGCAAACAGTGAACAGTGCAATCACAACGGCTTTAGGCACTTTATAGGCTTGTCTAAATATGAATTAAATAAAATAAAAAGACGGAAACATAAACGTCCATTGTTCTCAAAGATATGTATATTTGGAATTATGGTAATAGTTGTCTCCAGACCCGTAAAAAACACAATAATATTTAGTACAGCTACATGCCACACCTATTATATGAGATTCTCTATAACGGATAAACACACTGGTATGTTTTCAACTTTGTGTTTGCATAATATATAATGCTATGTTGTCTACTCGTCTGCTTATTGGTATTGTCCATCACAAAGGAGAGTACGTCATAATGAAACATAAATATAAGGTATTAACTATACCTACTTTATAATAAAAAGAAACATGACGTATGCAGTTGAGATTATACCAGTGTATTTAGCCATGTCATCTAGTAGCACACTTATACTCACTATTGTAATGGGATTACGCAATTCATGTAAACGCTCATAAAAACAAGAACCACTTATATGAAAGGCGGCCTCGTCGACCGCACCCAAAACAGTGGTCATAGCTAGAATAGACGCTTCAAACCACAACAACTTCCCAGGGGCGCCTACATACCACGCGCCGCTCAATTCAAAGGGCGTCGCCTTCGTATATATAGAGGCCAGGGCCCCAATACACATTAGATGTACCAGAGCCGCCGAGACCGAGCGAGCAGCTTAAGCACCAGCCATTACACACAGCTTACACGGAGATTATCAACTACTACAACGAGTCAACTCACGGGCATTACAATTCACCACGACTATATTAATTATTATTGGTTTTAATAAATTACAATTGATTTATATTTAAATTGACTATATTTTATTGTAAAAGTACAACAGCTTTTGGATCCCTGAACTGACGATCCACAGATGGCGTCAAAACTTAAAAGCACTCAGAACAGAATTGGAAATTCGTAGATGAATAAAATATGTTAATATAGGGTATAAAGACGTATACAACTATAAGAACGCCATTGGTCCACGATTCGTGATCCGTGTGACGTGGCTGCGTGTAGAGCTGACGTGGCTGACGTGGCCGCGTGTAGAGCTGACGTGGCTGACGTGGGGCCGTTCGTTGGCACGTCGTGTACAAACTCCTTGAACGGTATAAACCATATTATTATGACCATACGTACAATCCATGGTTATAAGCTGTTGGCGGCAATTTTGACCTTAGTGTTGTACTGAACGATTTTGACCGTTCTCTATAACTGCGTATCTATGATGGGTAGTTGGTTATATGTGGGGGGGGTGTATATGGGATTAGGGACATAGGTATACATACCGGAGCCGGTGAACGGGTTGAACTGACTCGAGGGGAAAACAGCATGAACACCTGTTTACCGCAATTTATAAATCAAAATATATATAAAAAAAAATACTAGACAGTTCGGCGTTCTGTTTTGATATTTATTGACGGGTTTTTATTTATAAAATAGCTAAAAATAATATCGATTGTACATTATGGTCCGCTTTAGACACCGTGAAAACGAGTAATAACCAATTAATAATTGAAAATTATAGAAATTATTCAATGTGTTACCTACCTAATAAATAGGAAATTTGTTTCAAACGTCACTGAATTCTGATAAAAAGGTATTAGAATATAAAATAAGTACCAAGTAATAATTAAACATTTATACGATTACGCTTTTTCACGTAATTTTTTCGAATATAAACCTAACATATATAAACAAAGTAAGTAGGTACCTAGTTGTTATTATTTGTGTTAACTTTTTTTTTTTGGATAACTTATTATGATTGTATAAAGGAACCACGCGAGAATGTAAATCGATATTAGAGTGAGTGAGCTATAATATGACATGCGCTGATAAAGATATGTACGAACGCCCATGCAGAAGTCAGTGCTAGACTTCGATGACTATTATCGAAGCACTATTTTGATGAACAAAAATGGTTTCAAAGAAAAAACTCTCATGCCTTACTTTAAATAGTAGGTAGTAGAAAAATACGTTTGAAAAAGGGCAAATATTGTTCATTTTTCAAATGCATATTCCAGCTTCTATAATTATAATTTCAAAATCGGGCTTTGATTTGGTCTACAAAATGTTCTCTACTTTTAGATTAAAAAAAAATTAACGATATCCAACATATTTCAGACTACTTTTGTAATTTATGGATTATTTATAACTTCACTACACAAAGTGGAATAAGTAAATAGTATTTTATTAACACATTTTAAATAAATAAACTACATTATAAATATACTTTAACTCTTATTATAGTGAGAAAAAATTAAAATGATACATATTACGCTTGAAAACTCGACGTTTCAGTTCAAACTACATTTTTAGTTAAAACAATTCCGAGTTATGTACACCATCTTATAGAGTGTAGACTATTTTATATCGATTTCAGTTCAAGAACACAATAAAATAAAATATAATAAAATATAATAAAATTATTTACATTGAAAAAGCATTTTTAATAATATAATTTCCATTACGTTACATAGAGAAGTAATATAGGAAACACATTATACTCAATAAACCAATTTTTTGAGTTATTGCAGTATTTAACTGAGGCGTCGAAATATTAAACAGCAGATTTTTTTAAATTTATTTTAACATTTAAATTTTAAATATAAACACATATATAATATTTTAAGCTAAAAAAAAAGGAATAATTATCCCCTAGTGTAATAGTCAGAAACATCTTACCAAGTAGCAATTTTATCATTATTTTTTTTTTCAATTTTTACTTAATATATGATCCGGAATGGAACTCCGGTGCTTTCTAGTTCATTGTATTACAAGACATTTAATTACTACTGTATTAATTAATTATTACCTGATTAAAGATAAATCAAAAAGACAAAGATTATACATAATCAAACCTGATTTCCAATGACCATAAGCATCCAAGGTTCAAAAGAATAGCACAAGTATATGCAATTCTAGTGATATTTTAAATGTCTCTTTCCAGAAACAAATATCCCAATGACATGCTAGAATAGAAGTATTTAAATAATCATCAGACTTCTGGTATGCAGCCAATAGTTTCTTGTACAGATCTTTTCATTTTGGATTTAAAAGTATACATTATTTAAAATATATTACAGCTTCTTGATAATTTTTAATGTTATGCACATACATCAAAGCTAATTTTTAATTAACATCAATGTTTTCAGGTTGAAGTTTCAAGCATTTTTTGTATACTTCAACAGACAATACTATATTTACTTGATGACAGTATTTAACTGTTAATTTCTTAAAACAGACACAATATCTGGTTAAAATTCTATTACTTTCAGAAATTCATTCGCTGCGTTTTGGAAAAATTATCAAGAAGCTGTAATATGTTTTAAAAAATGTATTCAGTTAAATCCAAAAAGAAAACACCTGTACAAGATATTTGCTTCATACCAGAAATATGATGATAATTTAAATGCATCTAATAATTGCATGTCATTGTGAGCTGAATTATATAAAAAGTATTTACATCTTAAAAATGAAGACTTCTATTTGAATTTAGAACTGGCTTTGTGTATTTGCATAACCAAAATTATTAAATAATATATAAAAAAGAAGGATATTATTATATTATTATCTTAATATATATTAAGTATAACATTCTAAGAATTAATTTTATTTTATATGCTATATATATGGATAGAACTTATATAACATAAAAATTTTAAAGTTTGATATATCTTAAAATTATTTTACTTACAATAAAAATAAAAATTAGGAAGCTTCGGTTGTAGGGATAGGACTTGAAGGAGGGGATGGACTGTCTATTTCAATTACTAAACCTTGCTCAGAACTGGTAACAGCTTGTTGCGGCTGTACTTGAGCTTGTGGTTTTAAATCAACTACAGCAACTGGTTGTATAGCATCAGCGGCCTGTGCCTCATTTTCTTGTTTATTTTTTTCTTTTGGTGGTTCTTCTTCGTCGTCACTTAATGTCAAATCGACTAAGTTTAAGTTTTCATTTTCTTGGCGTTTGACAGTTTCATGGTTAAGTTCTACATTCACATCAACGGATTTTTCTTCATCGCTATCTAAATCCACAGAATCAATAGGTTTTAATTTTGCATCAGGAGTACTATTATTGGTTTTTGTCTTCTTTTCTTCATAAGCTATCCATGTGCCATCAGCTAAAATTTCAATTTCCTTACTGCAGTCTTTGAGTGTCGGACTTGATACAACTTCCAAAAAATAATTTTCTATTAATATGTCATCGTACAAACATGGTTTATTACATGTTGGGCACATCCATGTTGGTTTTTTCTCATTCATTAAAATAAATGTTTTAACATCAAAACATTGTAAATGATCACAATTGATAGATTTTGCAGGTATCTCCATTCTCATTTTACCCAATGGGCACACTAACGAAAATCGATAAGATGTAGTGGCCAAATCTGGATCCACATCTTCTGATTTTTTAATTATATAATTTTTTGTTTCTTCCGAACTCCTACCACCTTTATCTTGGAGTCTTTGTATCAAAGCATCTGCAGTTAATCTTTTAACAAGGTACATACCCATAACATAATTTTTCCCATCAGGGGTCCAATTTACATAGATCATGTTGGGAGTGATTGGAGAAAGTTTCACAAGTTGAGTGCAGTTTATGGGTCTCGGAGATCGTCTGCATTCAACTCCTGGCCGAGTATTAGGAGCAGTAGGTGGTAATGGACATGATTTTG